TTGCTAATGAAAACTGATGTTGCTAATGAAAACAAAGAAAAAAAGACACAGAATATTAAGAACATTGGCTAAAGTCATAAAAGCAATCAAATTAACGTCTTTAAATAAACACCACAAAAAGAAACATGAAAGTTAAGCAAAGAAGATGATATTTGATTTCTCAATAGTAAATATTAGTGATGACTGTAGAACTACATTAGATAGTCCTGGTAGCTGGACTAGAGATCAGGTCTTTTATGGAAATAATCAACCAATACATCTTGGAAAACAATGTTGGGGCGGAATAATGTTTTGGGTTAGAGTTGTAAGCTGTAAAATTATAATCCCCATTGATAGTTGACGATAGTATCAAGATACATTCAAAGAAATAAAGATTTTACAATACACGCAGACAGCTAATTGCCCAGATGTAGTGATCAGCCAGACATAGTGATCAGCCAGACGTAGTGATCACGCAGACATAGTGATCAGCCAGACGTAGTGATCACGCAGACGTAGTGATCACCCAGATATAGTGATCAGCCAGACGTAGTGATCAGCCAGACGTAGTGATCACGCAGACGTAGTGATCACGCAGACATAGTGATCAGCCAGACGTAGTGATCACCCAGAGATAGTGATCAGCCAGACGTAGTGATCACCCAGAGATAGTGATCAGCCAAACGTAGTGATCACGCAGACGTAGTGATCAGCCAGACTTAGTGATCAGCCAGACATAGTGATCACCCAGGCATAGTGATCAGCCAGACGTAGTGATCACGCAGACGTAGTGATCACGCAGACGTAGTGATCACCCAGACATAGTGATCAGCCAGACGTAGTGATCAGCCAGACGTAGTGATCACGCAGACGTAGTGATCACTCAGACATAGTGATCACCCAGACGTAGTGATCACGCAGACATAGTGATCAGCCAGACGTAGTGATCACGCAGACATAATAATCAGCCAGACGCAGTGATCACGCAGACGTAGTGATCACGCAGACGTAGTGATCACGCAGACATAGTGATCAGCCAGACGTAGTGATCACCCAGAGATAGTGATCAGCCAGACGTAGTGATCACCCAGAGATAGTGATCAGCCAAACGTAGTGATCACGCAGACGTAGTGATCAGCCAGACTTAGTGATCAGCCAGACATAGTGATCACCCAGGCATAGTGATCAGCCAGACGTAGTGATCACGCAGACGTAGTGATCACGCAGACGTAGTGATCACCCAGACATAGTGATCAGCCAGACGTAGTGATCACGCAGACGTAGTGATCACTCAGACATAGTGATCACCCAGACGTAGTGATCACGCAGACATAGTGATCAGCCAGACGTAGTGATCACGCAGACATAATGATCAGCCAGACGCAGTGATCACGCAGACGTAGTGATCACGCAGACATAGTGATCAGCTAGACGTAGTGATCACGCAGACATAGTGATCAGCCAGACATAGTGATCAGCTAGACGTAGTGATCACGCAGACATAGTGATCAGCCAGACGTAGTGATCACGCAGACATAGTGATCAGCCAGACGTAGTGATCACGTAGACATAGTGATCACCCAGACATAATGATCAGCCAGACGTAGTGATCAGCCAGACGTAGTGATCACGCAGACGTAGTGATCAATGACCACAAAAACAGAATGTGCTTTCTTATTGGCATAACAGAAGATTTAAAAAAAAAAGCTATTAAAATACAAAGATCTTGAAGTGAAAATCTCAAAAATGAGGCACCTAAAGACATTAATAATTCCAGTTGTGGTTTGAGCCCTCGGCTTGCTTGGAAAAGGTTCCGATAGACTAAATGAAGGGATTCCTGGTAGCCTATACCTTAAAGAAATACAAAAAAAATGTTCTCATGAGTACAGCCCACACCTTGTTGTTGTTGTTGTTGTTGTTATTCTTTTTCTTTGTTTAATTGGACAGAGGAAAATGTCATGATGCCATTTCTGAACTTTAGGTCTATGGATAGGACCAGGAAAGAAATGTGTAAACACCAGAAATCAAAAGAAATAAAACAATTATAATAATAATAATGACAATATAGAAATCTCAAAAATGAGGCACATGAGGGCGTCAACAATCCCTGTTGTAGTTGGAGCTCTTGGATTGATTGAAATAATAATAATAATAATAATAATAATAATTGTTATTATTAATTGGAGCCCTCGGATTGGTTGGAAAAGGTTCCGATAGATTCAATGAAGGGATTCCTGGTGGCCCATACCTTAAAGAAATAAAAAAATTGCTCTCACAAGTACAGCTCACACTTTACGAGGGGCATTCTCTGTGTAAAATGTGTGTGATCTTTGTTTAATTTTTATTCTTATGTTTTAGTAGAAAATGTCATGATTCCATTTCTAACCTTAGGTCTCTGGTTGGGACCCGGAAGGAAATGAGTATATGAGAGGAATCAAAGGATTTCTCATTGAAGACGCAAACATCGAACAGACAATTCATGGCCGGCATTTTCCATCGATAAAAAAGGACAAATTTTGATAAAAAAATTGAAAGATTGTTAGAAATAATGTTTTGGGGGATTTACCGATGAGAGTTAGCAGTCTTTTAAGACATCCTGTCACAAATACGCCAAAATTACTATTATCATTTATTTTGCACACGCTGATTTGGAAAGCAGCCAAAAATGGACCTACATTTTTTTATCATTTCACCCATCAAGGCAATAAAGCCACTAAGATGCAAGGAGTTATTGAGTGTAAGAGAATATCTGAAAATATTATTAAGGAGAGAGAATAAAAGAACAGGAATTAAGAAAATAAAAGATAACAATTGACATTGCATTTAAACTTTTACGATCATAGTTGACTGGAAAGCAAGAAGTCAGAAGAGAGCCTGACAAGCAAGAAGTGCGAGAGAAGAAACTGTTAGCATAGAACCTACGGTTGCAGCTATAGATTTCAGCTGTAAAATGTTGAGACCTTGCCGCCAATCTAGTATTGTATTGAAATTCATAAAGTCATTGCCAAAGAGGAAAGTCATATTTCTTTTGTGGAAAATACAAAAATGTGGCACAGGGCCAAAAGGAAGGATAGAGGAAAACTGCTCTTCAAACTGTTTTATCTTAGCTAATTACAATGACTGACCCAAAAATACCGCAGTAATCTTTACACGAAAATAACGCATTCTTACTTAGCATTCTTACTACATCCACCATAATACCTCAAAGTCTCTAAGAAATCCTAAATAGTTCCCATATGTACAATTTGTCGGTAGGAGGTGGGGAATAAAAATAACTAAAACGGAAAGCTCATCAGAACAATTACCATGAAAGTATTTATAGAGAAAGGCAAAGGGGAGGTTGGAAAGTGACTGAAGCCGAGATGTCAGGTCAGGAATAATACAATTGCAGATTCTTAACGTGATCATTTCATAAGCAAATTAGACTTTGAACTAGGTGTACTCGAATATACGTTCAAAGTTCGGACAAGATTTATAAATGGTTCCAAAATTTGAATTTCATTCTTCTTTCTTTATCCGCCGTGTCCCTTTAGGACGTAGGCAGTCATGACCCTCCACATGTTCACGTCCCTTGTAGGTCTTTAAAACTTTGTCTTTCTGTTATTTCTCCAAATTCCTGTTCCGCCATCCATTTATTCAAGCGCATTAAGTATTTATGCACTGTTTTTATCTGTCCTTCTTTCCCTCTATCTGTCCTGTGAGTGTCAGATTTTCTAAGCCCTCTTTCCTCATTATGTGCCCCAGAAACCCTAACTGTCTCTTCTTAATGTTAAGTATTAGTTTCTTTTTTGTTTCCATTTTCTCTAAAACTTCGTTGTTACTCACATGTTTAACCCACGGTATCCTCAGCATCCTTACCAAATTTCTGTTGCTTCAAGTTTCCTCTTCATCTCGGAGGAGATCGTCCAGCACTCACTGTTATGAGTTTAGTACTCTTTTCTGTGCTTCTGGTGAGATTTTTCTATTTCTTAATACTCTGCTTAGCTTTTGGAAGGCATGTTTGGCTATCCCAATACACCTTCGGATTTCAGTGTCACACTTTCACTCCTCTGTTTAAACATTTCCCAGATATTTAAATTTCCGCACTTGTTTGAATTTGGTACCTCCGATTTGAAATTCGCACTTTGGGCTCGTCTTTTTGTTAAGAGCCATGCATTCTGTCTTTCTGCAGTTGATCTTTCATCTTTTCTTCTCGCTTTCCTTCACAACCTTCTTTTCATTTCATTTACGCAATTGATTCAACGGGATCGCTTAATATAAGAACTGTGATCGCTATAGGACCGTTACCAGAATAGAGGTATTTTAATCTTTTATACAAGATTATCTGAAGCGTTCCTAAACTTGTCCCTGCTAGTTATTCCTCTATGTTTTAGTCGTAAGAAAATCAAATCAAATCGAAATACCTTGACATCGAAACTGCAGATTATCCAAATGCAAATAAGAAAATGAAGGAGGATATGCTAAATTTCAACTTATGTTCAGGAGAAAAAGCAAAAACAGGCTTCATAATATGCTGATTTGAGCGGTAATTCTCTGAAGACGATATCAGACTTAGACATTTTTTTACATCTTTCTCTTTTTATTAACATACAAAATTGTGAAGTACGTAAAAGATGTCGACTAAGTATTTCAACCATTTTCTTTCTTTCTTAATGTTTTGGCTGAAATCTGTGGGACATGAACCGGCATATAAGATCCTGGAAGAGAGATTATCTTAAAAGAAAGACTAATTTCTCAAAATCAGCAATTTGGTAATTGTTCTTTCATCTATACTGGCATCGGCGTTTACAGGGTTGACTGAAAGATTGATGCTGATAGAAGCTGATCGATTTTTCTCCTTTCTTTTACAAAATCGATGCAAAGTAATTTTAGAAATTTTTTTTATATAATGGAGATAAACGTATTGTTTTGAAGGACTGTGTAAGCCGGTTGCCATAAGTTGAAGCTAAATTCGTTGCCCAAGATCACAGCTTGTAATGAAGAGATAAATATATAGATTGGGGATGTGTATATAACTAAATATGAAAAAAAAAAAAAAAAAAGAAATTTATCACTGCCGGTTCTTTCTTTCTATCTATCTATCTATCTATCTATCTATCTATCTATCTATCTATCTATCTATCTCGGTTCTTCTATCTATCTCTATCTATCTAGATAGCTATTTATCTATCTATCCATCCCAATTCTTTATGTGTGTGTGAATGACTCTCTCTATATAATTCTGTTCATATCTATCTATCTATCTATCTATCTATCTATCTATCTATCTATCTATCTATCTGTCGTTTGTATGAGTGTTTGTGCAACCGCATGAGTGTGTGTCTTATGAGGGATAAAAACGAATTCCCTTAAATGATTGATTAACATGAAGTGAAATTCATCCCCAAGGATCGATAATTAACAAGACTAATATAAAATAAAAAAACTGAAATGTTTTGATCGAAGAAATTCTTTTTCACTTCATGAACATTTTTAAGGACACAAATTTACTTATGTCCGTGTAGCATCATTTATTCCTCCTTTTTCGTTATCATACAAATTAAACGAAAAATACAGGATTTTTATTCCCAAACGTTTTCAAACTGTCTTATTGTTTTTTTTTATTGATTTTATTCCAGAATCTTGGTCGTTCTGTTCTACTTCCTTACTCCAGTTCCAGTTTCTGCCGCCCGAAAAAGAATCATTTTTTCTGAACGTTAGCGTCTGAGGAAGGTGCATAAGATAGATGGCGCTTTTCTTGAGAATGCGATCGCATGAAATCTTCGTCCTCATTATCGTGAGGTTCTTAAATTATTTGACAAAATCTCAGGTGAAAGGAAATGGCCGCCAGTGTTATAATGGCGTCAGAATCAGGTTGATTTGATGTTATAAATGAACACGAGGCTGGGGAAAGAAAGAAGAGGAAGAAGAAGACAGAGAGGAAGAAGGAAATCGGAATTGGTTGAAAACAAAAGAAAAGAAAGAAGAGGAAGGAGAAGACATAAAGGAAGGAGGAAATCGGAATTTGCTAAAGACAAAGGAAAAGAAAGAGGAAGGCCAAGAACAAGAAAGAAACGTTAATCTGCAAAAAAGAGTTATTAATGTTTAAAAACAACAGACGATGTATCACGAATTTTCGAACTGTCTGATATTTTTCATCAATGTTTTCTTAAAAATATTCGTAAATTTCAGTTGTGCGTAGGAGGTGCGAAAATTCCTTTCTTATGCCAATAACATGACAAGAAAAGAAAGCACCACAAAGTTTTGTCATAAAACCGTGAAAACACAAGCGGGAAAAAAAAAAACAACTTTTCCCCAATATTTATGATGCTATTAAAAATTACATATCACTTATACAGTGTTTTGTCATAGATGAAACGTATTCTACATGAACATTCGGATATTGAAAAAAAAAAAGAAGATATTTCGATATGAATTTATACGTAATTTAGAAATTATGTGATGTTGGACAGCTTCGCTTGTCACTTTTGCTATGTCAAGCGAAAGCTCCTTATCACTTCCCAAAATGCTCGTTCTATTTGAGACTTCGTAGACGTCAGTACTAGTATTAATAACGCTTTCCAATAATATCAACACTAGTAATACTTGTTCAAGTAGTAATCGCCAAATAGTATAATGATAAGAAGAGAATCGTAATCCATATAGTAGAAGAGTAGAGAGAGTGAAACGTATAACAATTGAGTGGATAGAAAGAAGAGTGAACAGTGATAATATTTATTGTACTAATTGTACAAATAGGGCACAAAGTTATAAGGGGGAAAGGGGAAAAGGATGGTCTTCTTCTGTCTTAACATTAAACTTAGCTAGCCTCAAACACTGACCCAAACATACAAACAATATTCCTTTCACCGAAACAACACATTCTTACTTACCATTCTTACCTCATACACCATAATGCCTTAGAAACTCTATGAAGTCCTAACTAGTCCTCATATATACAATTCATTGTTTGTGGGGGGAGGGGAATAAAATAACAATTAAAAACGGTCGCCCTCTTCCTCACACGAGCGCACACTTCTTAAGGATGGAAAGTTTCTACGAGCGTCTTCCTTCCAGAATTCGCCGTTCTCATTCAGTTGCATACACATCCGGTCTAGATAAGTAATGCGAAGCGTATGTCGACGAATCTCAACGCAAGGCACCCCTAGAGCGCCATCAGAAGGATGAAGGAAACAGATCTCGCGACTAACCATGGCGGCTCTGCCTCCCCACAAGAAGGTGAACAAGAGCCTTACAGACGCCAATAAAGTGTCAGACGGGAGTGGAAGCACGGGGAGTCGGTAAAGGAGAATCGGGTAGAAAGTGCAAGGCACATACTTCCGCCCTCCCCTTCAAGAAAAGATTCCCCCGGAACCATAGCCTTCTCCCACACCTCCGACTAATTCATTTCCAACAGGAGGTCGGGACCGAACCAGATGCCGAGTATCCCGACCGGCCCGTCAGTCCAGAGGAAAGATCCGGGAAGAGAAACTCCCTTCCACGAACCCAACCGCAAGCCGACAGACTTATCGCAGTTGATCTTGGCCCCTGTCACCATCTAATAGCCTTTGATTTCTTTGCTGACTTCGTTAATTTCGGCTCTGCTCGACACAAGAACCGAAACATCATCAGCATAGGCGGAGTACCTGGCCGAGGTGGTAGCACCAGGTAAGGAAACTCCACGTAGGACCGGATTCGTCTTCAACTTACGCAGGAAAGGTTCCAACGCATGAACGTACAGCAATGGAAACAGCGGACAACCTTGACGAATGGAGCGAGACAAAATGAAAGGTTTCGATTACTTCTTCCAATGCACCGGGGGACACATACAGCAGTCGGATCCAAGTGCGAAAGTCCGGCCCGAAACCGGCGGCCGAAAGAACTGCCTCCAGAAATCGAAAGCCTTGGACTGATCGAAATTGATCAGCGCGGCATCACTGTTGACTTACTCGATGATTAAGCGTACCAAATGAAGGTTGTCCTGAATAGTCCTGCCCTTCACAGCACAAGTCTGTTCGGGACCAATCAAACTAGAGAGGACAGCCTGCAAAACGGCCAGCTAAGACCTTGGCTAAAATTCTGTGTTTAACATCGTCAAAGGTCGATAATTATCTACCCAATCCCGACCATTTTTGCTCTTGCGAAGCAACTTGATCACACCCCTGGTGAAGCGTTGAGGTATGGACCCCTGTTTCATCCAGTTGTTGAAAATCAGTGCCAGCAAGGGGACAAAGACGGGCGACTGCGTCAAGAAAGACCATTTAATCTTGGAGTCTTGTCCAAGCCAACCTGTTTCAGCGCATCCCAGATCTCAGGCTCTGTAATGGGACCCTCGCACCCAGCCGCTTCAGCCGCCTCTAGGCGGGGAAAATCGGTTAAATAGGCAGCAAACTGAGCAAGGCTCAGACCGGGCTCCCTGGTAAACAGCTCCTGAAAGTAGTCACGAAAAGCCTCGCAAATGCCCACGTCTGTAGTCACAGTCCGCTTATCCGGCAATGTGATGCTCGCGATATGCCGACTAGATGCCCTACGAGCTTCCTCTGAACGCAATGACGCGGCCATATTCGTAACCTCACAAGACATTCTCTTTATCCTAGCCCTAACTACTAGAGCCTGATCCTTCTTGATAACCAAGGAGGCCAGCCCCACCTTAGCTACGGCTATGTCCCCACTAACACGGGATTTGATCGCCCGATCTACTTTCTACTCACACGACTTTTGCGCTGCTAACTCTGCTAGATTGAGTCGGCGACTAAAATCAGCAGCAAAAGAACTAAGTTTAGATTTGAGAGAATCCCGCCACATTCCCAACCATAGCCCCCGCTCAATTCCCGCTGAATCATTAGTAAAAGCTGGTCCCGGAAATCTTGCTCACCAAATAATGACGAGTTCAATTTCCAGTAGCCAGCCATCTTAACCCTAGGCTTATCTAAGTTTACCCGAATCCAGACAAGCCTATGATCCAAGTAAACTATAAAATTGAAACTTGGACATTCTACGAGCCCTACGTCGACTCTCTTAACTAGAACTCGGTCGATGTAGCTTGCGCTCACCACCGAATCCGAGATTCCTCCCCTAGTCCAAGTCCAAGTCCATACTAACTCCCGATCAAACCCATCGATAAAGTCCCGAAACGACTTAACATCCGGGTTGTTAGTACCCGATTTTTGCCCTATCCGATCTATATCGGGATCAAGGACGACATTCCAATCACCCGCAATAACAAGATGTCATCAAAAACGGCGCGATTTGCCGAAACAAATCAGACGGCTGCGCATTGTCATTGGGCATATAAACCCCAATGAGACGAAGAGTCTTATCCTTTATGTTAACTTCCAGCACGCAAAGCCTGTCAGCCGGATCCGCGAAGACAAGAGCACGCACCGCATCTAGGGACTTGCTCATCAGCCAGGAAATACCTCTCGAGCGTCCATCAAAACATGCTGAATAGAGGACGAACCTCTTAGACAGAATGTCCTCACGGTCGCGAGATAAAAAAAAATGTTCTCCTGCACACAACAAACATCTACCCCGAGGCGCTGAAGATCGGGATCGAGCCTCGCCCTTCGAGACTCCGACTTCAGACCCCGGGCATTCAAACTTGCTAACCATAGCCATAGTGAAAACTAATTAGGGTTGCTCCCTGGATTGAATATGACCGGGGATAGTACACCGACGGCCTATCCCATGGAGCCAGTGCCCATCTCATTTTTGATGGTGCCATCTGGAGACAGGCCACGAATGTCCAGGGGGCGAGTTAGCCTAAGAGCCTCTATACAGGGGGGGGTGGTGAACGAAAAGCGGGAGCCTCCCTCAATAGAGTTGATTTAACTTCTTTTCATTCTCGTTATCAAAATATGCTAATGGTGGGTAGACATCAAATGCGCTGTTTGTTTCACGCAACATAGCCCAGATGTTTTCTGAACCATGTCCTGCTCTAACCACACTCAAAATCCTTTTCGCCATGGGAAAATTTTTAGAATTTTCAATGTCTAAATCGTTTATTTTTTTTTAAGTTGAACAATATTTTTAAGTCTTTGGGTTTGCGGGTTTGGGAAAATGCTCTGTCGGCTCGATTTTTTGCTACACGACACACATCTTTCTCTTTGTTGAAAAGTAATTTTTGTTTGATTTTTTTTCTCTATGATGGGTTCTGAAGAGTCCGAGGAAGGGCTTCATTGACGCTTTTGGGCGTCTGTTTTGGGAGGTGAAGTAATGGGTGTTTTCAAAGGTGAAGCTTTGGGAGTTACGGTTTTTTCAGAGGAGTCAATTTGGAAGGGGTCAGAGTTATTATTTGCAAAACTAAGGGTGGAGCCATAGGGGCCTGTTCAGAGGGATGGAGATGACGGAGCTGATGATGAATGTCTTATAATTTTTCCAGGTTGATGCTTTAATGATTCCTTCAATTTTAATATTTTCTCTTTTTTCTCGAAAGAAGGCTCGTATTTGAGATGTTGTTGCCGCAGTTTGTTCGAATAAATGGCCGAATAGTCGCCCTTTGAACTGTTAGAGGTAGTGGGTCTGTGCGTATCTGTAGCCGTGGGGACTTCAGTGGAACGAGGTCCCGCTGCCCGGAGCTTCCCTTTGACCATACAAACGACCTGCTATTTCCCCGTCTTCCTTCTCCGCAACCACACTAGCGGCGGGCAAAGGCTTTTTAGGAAATTGGGGCTGAGAGACAGTCCCAACCGGGAGTTTGACCACACAGGTCCCGATCGCTGTCATGCCCATTACAGGTGAGACGGATGTAACAGACTCGGTCACAGGGGGGATTTCGGTCGATAGGGGCCAGAATCTTAGAGGCCTTCTTCTCTGTGCAGGAAGAGGACAGGTGAACAGTCTGACCACACTTCCAGCATGTCGGTTAACGCCCAGTGACTATAATTGGCATCTTCTGGCCTGCAACATTCAGACAGTTGGGGATGGAGATGAAGGCTTTTCGGTCTATCATGATTTCGAAACTCCATCCCTCGTTCAAATCGTCAGAGGAAGCACTGAGTATCTGCCCAAATTGGAACAGATAAGCGGCCAAGTGCTCCCCGATGATCTGAGGACGAACCTCAAATACTGATAAATGGGCCTTCGCCTGCCTTACGTACGCAGAATGAAGTCTTTTGTAATTAGTTCTCGACTTGTCGCGGCTTCGCAGTCGTCAGGCGTGGATAACAATACGTCCCACATAAAGAACCCTTACCTTTGATTACCCTCTGGGTTTGATCCCCAGACAAATCAATGCCTTAATAACGGTGTCTTTTGTGGAGCGACAAATTTTGCGTGACCGCTTGTCCACCACAAAGACTGACACAATTCTTTATTCAACTCACTTTAATTCCTCGGGATTGACCAAAAGTCCATCTGCTGTGACAAGATGTGCGTAACCTTTGGCTTTCTTGAGGAACTCCGTGATGTTGATCAAACACTTAGGTGGGGACGTCCAGCTTGAGGGCGACTCTCCGACAGCTACATTTTCGTCTTTAGAATTTTCATCTTTTTCTGAATTTGGTAAATTTTGAAAATTATCGGCCTCCATGACTTCGTCGGTTTTCGTCTGATCTTCAGTATTTTGTGCCTTTTAGGTTATCATACTCTCGCCGGAAGTCTCAGCACCAACTTCCTGCTTTTGGCTGTTTTCCTCATCAACCACTGTTTTCTTTTTTTTTTTCCTTTTTGGTACTGAAAAGATTTTTACGGACCATATTAAAAAAATTTTTTTCTATATGTTTAACGGGAAGGGTAAGGGCGTTTTGGAAAGAAACGAAAAATTAAATAATATACAATTAAGCTTTACAAAAAATAGACATTCTTAAACAAAACGAGACAACAAATATAACCAGACAAAAAGAATACACAAAACAATAGGACGTGTAAAATAAAACGTGAAAAAGTGAAAAATTAAAACTAGAACGATAACGATCACAGAATAACTTTTAAAACGGAAAAAGAAAAATTACAATTGCAAAACAAAAAATTAATACAATAATACAAACGAAAAAGAACGTTTAACAATAATAAAAAACGATAAGCTTAAAAAAATACGAAACAACCAATTAAGAGATTTTTCAGAACGAAACACAAACAATAACAAAGACAGAATAAACAAATTAAACGTGAAATTTAACACAGAACGATTAACGATAAAGACACGGACTTAAAAGACATTTAAAAAGAAAAACAAGAAACAAATGAACACGTAATAAATAAAGAGCAAATGAAAAAGTAAGACAATATAAAGACGTAGAAACAAAGAAAGATTTCGAAGGGGAGGGTTACAGAAAATTAACAAAAAAAAATCTAAAACCAAAATATAAAAGAAAAGAAAAAAAAATGGATAAAGTAAAATGAAAATGGGGGGGTGTGAAAAAAAAATCAAACTTTTTGCAAAAAACTGTCAGTAAAATAAAAAGTAAATAATAATAAAAAAAACAACTTATCGTAACAAAAGAGTTCAAACAAACAAAAGCACGTTCACGTTGACAGAAAATTCCATGCGCTGAAAGAATTACCGGTCGTAAACGGTCGGTAAAAAAAGAACCACTACTCCAAGAGTTAACAGTGATCGTATAGTCATCATGCTACTTCCTATTTATTCACTTCCTTTATGGTCACGTGATCTACTTTATTAATAGAATCGCCCGTGTTACTCACTGGCGATCTAGTTTTAAACCACAGTTTCGGGAACGACACTTACTCTTATACAATTGCAGGTCAGTTTTTAGCGTTTTAAGAAATTATAAAAGTGAAAAATCTATCTCTCAGAAATACTTTCATCGTGAGGAAATAAATATTTCGATGACTGTAGAATATTACTTCTCTTCCAATGCAAACACATTTGCTTGCAATTTGCGCGCTTGGTGTACAGGATGTTCGAGGTAAATTTGACAGTTTTTAAAGGAAAATGTGAATATCTAAACCCCAACTTAATTTATTGGAATAATAGAAACGTGACACACATGTTATAATAATCAAAAGAGAATTTATTCAAAGAAGTCGCCTTCATCATCTACCCCCAGCCTAGATCCGACACCGACTAATCTGGCACATGCGGCCTTCAAGGTGCCCCTAGAGAGAGCCTCAAACAAGTCCTTAATCCTGTCGATCAGCTGAGCCTTGACGTTGCAGACAGTACGTATGGTGCCTTTCTCGACCCCGCCCCACACATAATAATCTATGGGATTACAATAAGCGGGGAGAGTTTGGGAGCCAGACGGTGGGGTTGGTGAAGTTGTAAAAATTATCTGACAACCACTTCTGAGTCTTTCTGGACGTGTGGCAGAGAAGGGAATCTTGCTGCCACACATATGGTCTTCCAGTAGCCACCCTCTCCAGCCAAGGCTTGGCCACGGTGTTTAGTAATTCCACCTAGCTATCCGAATTGAGCCTGAGACTCTGTTCAAATATCTGAGGTGGTATGACATCACCCTCACTAGAGATACAACCAAAAGACATCACAGTTTGGGGAAACTTGGTCTTCATGATACGAGGAACGTCATGTGGATTGGAGGTAAGTCATCTGTTGTTCTGGGTATCGTGCAGCTAGCCCTGACAAAAATTCTTTTCATCAGAGAAGAAGCAGGTTATCCGTGCTTCAACAGGATGTTTCATCTTGTTTAAGAGTTTTTTTTCCATTTTGTCAGATGGTTTTCTTTTTTCTGTAAGAAGTTGACATATACACCTCTTTTATGACAGGTAGCCGAGGTTCTCATTCAATGTCATTTTCATGGTGGAAACTGAAACACATTTCCCGCGTGAAAGCCAGCATTCGTTTACCTGGGTCTTCCATCACTTTCTCCTGTTGTTAGATGAACTCTGGTGTACGCAGGCAATCAGAACATCTACTGTGTTCCTTCCTCTACAAGTCACGGTTTTTCTGTTGCAGTTCTCCATCTCAAGTCTTATTGTTTCTAACGGTGTTCAAAGAGCATATGTTGCCACGATTGCGGAATTTTGATGCCCAGCACGAAACATCATGATGCGGGTTAAACTTTGTCAATATTCAAGTGGCTTCCATTCGTCCATGTTATTTAACTTTGACATCTTTAAAACTGTAATGATTAGGCTTCATAATGCTGTTCATTGTTTATAGATATTTCAAACCAATTTTATAGCTCAGCTTGTCCTAGACCAGTGATTACTTAACCTATTTCACCTGATGCCCCCCTTTCACCCTAAGTCAGAATATCACCCTCCCTTTTCCAAGATTGTCTGGCTCAAAAGTTGCATTCAAATAATGTGCATATATCAATGAAAATCTTCATTCTTTTCTCTATTAGTACGTCTACATTTACATGGATTATTTTTGTAGTGGTCAAAAACACAAATGCTAGAAAGAAGAAGACACAACATGAGATCTCAGTTACGCAGACCAATGCACATTGAGGATTGTGCCACCTTAACATTTTAAGCCTACTAATCTGTGGTTCCAATTCCCCACGAAACACTAAAATTCTTCCCTAACAGCTAATTCCTAACTGGTTGAGAACTCCTTGTCCTAAAAGGAGAAAAAAATAAATGTTACTTTGATCAAAAAATAGCACAGAAAAGCACAGAGATGACAGTATAATGCCTTTTTGTTTTTTGTTGGGATAGAAAAATATTTAAGTGAATATGAAAAGGATTGATTTATCAGAGTATTTTGGAAGTTAATTTTGGAAGTTAATTTCTGATCTTTGCTGAAACAGTTTAGGATTGAAGAGGTTTGAATATTTCAACAAGATAACCACTGAAGCACTGAAGCATATAACTAAAATAACCAATAGACAGTTTTGTTCAGAAAAATTCAGTCGTGCATCAATGGTTGAGTCAATCTCCTGATTTGAATCCAATTGAAAAACAAAGATTTCAAAAGAATATTGTAGATGACAATGAAGGGTTATAAAAACTTCTTAGAGCAATAATGACAGCCCATGGATAGATTTTTTAATAATTTCACCCAAAGCAAGGTAGGAATGCCACTAGTACGAAAGGTGTTACAGTGAGTGGAAGTGAGAGAAAAGATTGAGTAGAGGAAGTATTGAGGAAAGGACAAAAGATAAACGTGATTCAAGAAGATAGAAGATGGCGATTAACGTTGCATTTACAAAGGGTTACTGGGAATGAAAGAAATTGATTGAAATCAATCAAAAGAAGAGAAGATGACGATTGACGATGTATTTACATTTTTGAAGATTGTAGTTAACAGGAAAGTATGAAGCAGGAGGAGAGTTTCACTGGAGAGAAGAGTGAGAGAAGAAACTATTAGAATAGAACTTACGGTTACATTTAGCAATTTTAACAATAAAATGATGGAACCTAACTGCCAATCTAGTACTACGTTTACATTCATGAAGTTAGGGTACCAAAGGGGAAAGCACATCAGAACAATTGACCTAGAAATATTTATAGAAACGTCACAGGGAAGATATGGTACGGTGGGTGGGAAAGTGATTGAAACCGGGATGCCAGGTCAGAACGGATAACATTGCAGATTCTTCTTTGGATTTTGGCAAAAATCACAAAGAAGCACCAGACCAGGTGGGATAACAATATTCAAAGCAAAGGTCAAATGGTAGATTTAGAAATATGCAAAAAAATTCGGCTTGGAAAACTGTTTAGCACGACACAGTTGAACAACAGACTTTTACTTTTCTTTACACTTTATTCTAGATTGTGTGTGTGAAAATAATTTTGTTTTAAATGTTTTCTTAATAATTGTTAAATACATCAACTGTGTAGATTTAAAGAAAAATTGTTTTTTTCTTTTAAGTAAAATAATAATTTTTGTCACGGTAGAGGGCAGTGATCCCAAGAGTGAAGCCGTCTGGAGTTCCAACTCCTGTAGGGGCCACCCATGTCGGTAAGGTCGAGGAGGAGGGGGGGTGAAGACTGAACACGACCAACCTCCGAAGAAACCCAACGCTCTCAACGGCCAAACCGGCAGAAGAGGGTAGCGCTTGTCGGGCTGGCATAACCAAGGGCGGACCTTGACAGAGTAACCATCCGACAGACCGATACAACCATATTTGCCACCTGTCTCAATCCCCTTTTGAGCCGCAAGGGAGGCGGGGAGAGAGCCATACATATGTGACGCATAAGTAAGTATACAATAAGTATTCTACCATTATTATCTATAATTCTAAAAATACATTATTTACATTATTCGGACTGTTGTCCTCAACTTTGTCGCCATATTTAAATCTAATAAATATGGCGACAAAGATGAGGACAATAGTCCGAATAATGTAAATAATGTACATAATACCTCATCTCAGAAATATAGGCAAATTCTCAAAATGTGTGTCTGTGTGTGTGGTCGGATGTTGTTTATACATTTCCACAGTTTTCATTCGATTTCGATGAATTTTTTTTTGTTTGATAGATAATTCTTCAGATCCGGTTTTGAGTCCAAATTGTTGGTGACAATGGCTCTCCACTACTTCCTGTCAATTATAACACTCAGCAACATTTTACTATTTACTATCTGTTTTTGGATATATATCTTTCATAAAAAACTTTAATAAAAATAATTAGTTTAAATTATTACAATAATATTATTTATTATTATACAGTTCCCTTTTCAGGGCCACCCCACCCCATTCCAATTGTTACCCCCCCACACAATTTGGGGATGTGCTTCAGTTGCACCCAAATGTTGTTACTAATATTGATTTTCGGGTGGGGTGACTTTAAACTTAAACTGCTCCATTTGAACAGTAAAAATTCCCAGTAATGAAAGACCCGGTTGAAGTCGGGTTATACTGCTAGTCAGTATTATAATAGTGGCTCTGGGACTCATTTATTATTAGAATTTATTTAATTCATTAAAATTATTTTTAATATTTTTATTTTCATGATTTTTATTGTATTACATTTATTATAATTTTTAATTTTTAATAAATAAGAATAATAAATGTTTCACAGGTAAAGAGAAGTGTGAATGGCGGTGGGTGGGGCGGTAAACAGGTTGAACATTTGAGGGATTGATATGTTTATTATTGATATGTTTATTATTAATGTTTATATAATACATAAAATACATTTTGAGAGCACATTTCTTTTTCATTACTGTATACATACTTGTGTATACATATATGACAAAAAAAAAATTACCCAATCTTCTAATTCTCCTTGGGGAAAGGTTCATCTTATCACTGACAAAGAAAAGCCCGAAGGCAGAAACATGGAACCGGTGTCTTGCAAAGCAGAGAAGGACAATTCTTATTATTTGATTCCCGACAGAAGACTAAAAAAGTGCGATTTGACTCAGAGCAGAATTGCCATTGAGCGACTTGTTGATTCTGAACAGGGTACACAATAGTTTGATTCTAAGCATAAAATTTGACCTATGCATAAATAATCTCGTCATAGTTACGGATACTATCAGGTAATCAATCCTTGCCGATTTTTACGTCCGTGTGGGAAGAACTGATCATCGATACGTAAATGAGTCACGTTACCAGGAAAGCACAGTCATAGCAGCCAGGTAACATGGCCGTGTTAAAGCAATCTGTTCAGAGTTTTATGACTTTAAGGTGGAGGCATCAAGTCACCGAAAATGTGAAGCTTTTGGAGATGATACTCTGTGAGTGAACGCACCGCCAGACATTAATTCCAGACATTCTGGTCAGCTGATCTGTTTCTCTGTGATGAACCTCACAATGGCCGGCCACAGGTCTTGGATGATGAGGCTCTGAAGGCGTCCATAGAGGAGGACAACATCCAAACCTGTGGTGTGCTTGCTCCCAGGTTTCTAATGAAACGGTTAGACTTCACCTGCATCTCAAAGGGAAGGAGTACAAGCAAGTGGATAGTCTGAAGCCATCAAGCAACAGCGAGTGACAGTCTGTTACTCGTTGCTTTCTCGGAACCGCAACGTAACCATATGAGCTATGAGCTGCTACCAAAGATCCAAACCACTGCGGACCTGAACTTGCAGCGGGCGCTCTCAGACTTCTTTACGTTCAAAACATTTGATTTTTACTGCCAGGACTTTGCTCAGCTGGAGGTACGCTGGCAAAAGGTTCTGGACGCCGACATGAATTTGAGGACTAAAGGTATGTCAAATTTACAGTATACCTTTTTTTGTTAATAAATAAAAAATAGCAAGGACTTTTTCTATAATACTATATATATATATATATATATATATATATATATATATATATAATCAACAGAAATTTTCTGTCAATTAATTTTATTGATCGACTTTTTCATATTGTGAATAATCCTTCTTAGCTAAGGAGGAAATTCCGTCAGAAATTGTCCAAAGTTTATTTGGGGAGAAATGTGCTCCAAGTTTTCGACTTTTGTTAAGTCATCTACCTTACTTGACATTTGCTCTAAAGAACATTTGCAGCCTAAATGCACATATAAAAGTGGACATTGAAGTCAATACCGAGAGACGACAGTCTGTTTTATGTCAGGTCATATTTTATATTTACATCTGCTCTATCCCAGATATTGAGCACTTTAACATATAAATATAGCATACACGAAAACTATATTTTAACACACACGCACACACACACACACATACACACACACACACATATATATACATATATATATATATATATATATATATATATATATATGAATTTTATGCTCGGAAAATAAAACACCCCTACAACTCTAGAAACATACACACAACCATACACCCAATTAAAATTAAAAAAAATAAAATCATCCTTGATAATGGCTAAAAGTATAGCCGAAAGCAATCGGAATTATAGAACATTTGGTCAATTTCTATACACTCTGTGTCCAGAAAAGAAAAAGACTTGTTCGAACACAAGAAGAATTAAATAAATATACTAATCGCATTAACTTGTCTGTCGTCTTTAATGAAACACACACACACGCGCGTGCGCGCACACACACACACATATACATATATATATATATACATACAATGATAAGAATATAGTTTTAAGATGCTATATTTAAAGGTAAACGTGTTCAGTATCATGTAAATCTAGACATAACAGTAGACACCGAGGTCGACACTAAGTGGCGACAGTTTGTTTCATGCTTGAACATAGTGTTTAGGCTCTAGGTGTGGTATGGTGACCGTCCGTTTATATATACAGGTCAATAGTGCATCATTTATAGTGAGGTCTCTTCTATTATCCTCGCCGTTATTGCGTAAAGCAGCAACGGTTATATTTAAAATTATTCTTAGGGTTGTTGAATGGAAGTAATTGTTGTTCAGAATGCGGTAATTTGTAGCCGTTGTAAAAAAAAAACAAAAAATCACGAATTACGTATTAAAATCGCTCTAAAGAAGTAAACATATTCTAGTAAATTGTAAATGGATAGGCGGTGTTATGAATATCGGTTTGGAATTTGAAGTCGACGAGCCGAGTTTGAATTACAGTCTGGGTTCATTACATTAACTTATGCGCAAATACTCTTGGGAAATGTATGAATCCACCTCTTCCCCCCAGCTATGGGTTAAATAGCAGGATAGACTGGGTCTTATAGCCTTGGTTGGGAATCAGTCTACTTCAGAGAGAAACGGCAACCTACTACGGGAAAATCATCTGCCTAGTTATTCAAGACCTCTCAATCGCGTATAGCACTCAGCTGACTGATATTGTAAATATTCTTATAGAAATAGGCTTTATCAGCTGAAATTCACGTTTGGTCGGGTCGAGACGAAGTTTACGCGGCAAAGCTGAACTCAATGATAAAGAGGCCAACAAATACACACCAGAGTCTATTTGGTTAAAGGACCTGAAACAAGATCGAGTCTAAACGAAAGGTCAACAAAGAAATTAATACAAAGATTGACACAGTAAGGTTTTAGTGATTTCCTAGCTGGAAATTGAATTAAAAACATCAGCTTTACATTTTACTGCTGAAGGTCACAGGTCACGTACACACGCATTCAGATAGGGCCAGATGCGCGTACACACGCTGACGCACATGTATATTGATGAGGGGAGAGAGAGAGAGAGAGAGAGAGAGAGAGAGAGAGAGGGGGGGGTTATAGAGAAGAGAACTTGTGTCCAAGAAAGGCTTAATGCATTCATGTGACCTGTTATTGTGGTGAAAGCTACTCTCTACAGTGTATCGATCGAGCAATGGCTGAACAGGCAAACACTTTGATCACAGTTCGCTTCCCTTTCTTCATTCACTTTTTTTTTCATTCAGTCGAAATGCGACCGATTTATTTTTTGGCATTTAAAAAAAAAAAATACATTATTTGTTTTTTGAAATTTATTTTTTGTCCGTCTCGTTAATTATTTCATTTAATTATTCCTTTTCCCTTGGTCCTTTTTTTTTGTATCATAGAAATTGTCTTGCTATTTTTTATGGCTTCGTTTTTCATTCACAAATCATAGCGCGTCGTTATTTCTTCTCTTATTCCATTTATTCCTTCCCAAATCCATTCGCGTGATCATTCTTCAAATATTCTGTCTCTCTTATACTTTTTCCTTCACTCCATTCTAGAACCTTGTCCATTCATTTCAAATATGGTTGAACGAGTAAATCAGCAAGTCCAAAGTCTAATATTGAGAAATGCTTTTGATTTTAGACAAATGTAACTCGGAAACTGAATTCCATCCATCCATTTCAAGTCAAATCAATTGGCTTTTGATCATATTTTGAAAATGAACAATCCACAATTACAGACCTAAAAAGATTTTCGAGCAAAGCCGAATGTGTTCATATCAAATTTGATCGCTTACAAATCGTCGTAAAAAAATCTTGTAGCAAAACAGAAAATATAATAACATATTTGAGCTAGAACATTGTTCTAGATTCACGTATTGGTATATTTTCTTAGATTGAGACATTTTTTCAGATTCCCATATTGGGACATTGGCCCAGATTGAGACATTTTTCTAGATACAGCTATTAGGACTTTGTCCCACTTTGGGACGCTATTCTAGATTCTTTTTGCAAGGATCTTGAAAAGCGCTCAAAATACTGTTCTCGGATTATTATTTTTTATTATGGCAAGAACTAGAGAAGAGGTAGTCAAATTTGCTTTAATGTCAGAGCCACATGCGAGAGCCGCATCCGTTTTTGTTACATACACATTAAAATTAATCTTACGTTTTACTCTAATGGGGTCTCAATTCATACCTAGTAAATTATTATAAAGCTTGAGATTTTTCTTATTTATCTTTTATATTAATTGCGATGAAGAAAGGAGTCCAGCCAACATATTTCTATGAGCCGCATATTAAAGGTCAAATAACCACAGTTTGGCCACCCCTAGACTTGAGTGTTCTCACTGTTTGCCTTGGGTGTTGCGTCCATTTGCTGCAAAGAATGAAGATTAGCGCCAAAAGACTTAATAAGTAACGATCAACAATACCAACGCTGACAACACTGGCTTCAGAAACAATGAACAGTTCCTGGAACTTGTATCTTTCTTCACATACTTGAGTTCTATCGACACAGACAAAAGCTCCAAACGAGAATAACCCGCTAGATTAAGGGCTAAATAAAGGTCAAGATCATTTAAATCTTTATATTTTTCATTCCTATTTTCGTCGAACTATTTTGAAATCCGTGTTGATGTTATGGATGCAAATTATTTGGAATATACTCTATTAGTCATAGTAGTAGTAGTAGTTGTAATAGTTATATTAGTTGTAATAGTAGTAGTAAAAGCAATTTCTATGGCGCTTCTTTCATTTTCTGATAATTAAGTAAAATATATTCAAATTATATTAAAGAAATATAGATAGGATTGATAAAAGTTTTATTGTCAGTCGTGAGACCTGGGTACTCCAATGAAAAGACATTCGCAAACTTGAAAGATTTCATCAAATGAAAATTCGTAAAATCCTGAGGAACCGGATCACAAACAACGAAGGTCTCCTCCGCACAAAGATAGGGACCCTAGAAACATTCTTGATCCGCCGTTGAGTTTGATGGGCCGGAAATATTGCCCGAATGCTAAATATCCACCTACCCAAACAAATCCTCTTCTCAAAGCTCGCATCTGGCAAGAGACCATGAGGAGTCCTTCGTCGTCGATTCAAGGCTCACCGCAATAACACCTTGCTGAGGACAGAAATCGGTCTGGTCAATTGGGAGACGGAAACCGCAAAAAGAATCAAATGCAGAAGAGCAATCGACGAAAGAACAACAACCTTCCGAACCAACAGAAGACAAATAAAAGAGAGGAAAAGAGACCAAAGAAAAAACAAAATATTTGATCCCCCTGAACACAATCATATGGTGGCTGCGAGCGTCTCTTCAGAACCAACTGAAGACTCATTTCACACACAAGGAAATGTTGATGAGCACCCCAATAGTCAACAATGAGTTCCGACAACGACGACAAAGAGAAAGAATTTTCTGGAGAAAAAAATAAAAATACGTGAACTGTCGGTTTTATTTTATTCTATTTTTATTTTTATTTTTTTGACGCTATTCCTCTTTTTTTTTAAGGCAGAATCGGATTTACTTTTTTAAAACTAAACATGTCTTCGTCGACAGCAACGCGAAGTTTATGACAGAAAAGTTTATCAAGATATTCACAAGTCAACTTTCTGTCTGTAATTGTGGTAATTTAGCTGCCACATTATTTGTTAGAATCCTCATTTTTTATTTGCTCAATTCTGTCGAATTCCATCACGATATCTTCATGACTCGATACCTAACCATAGACAGCATCTTGAATACCATTCTCTTCGTGAATGCATTAATATTATGGCCTGTATCGATATTATTGTCTGCATCGATATTATGGTCTGTATCGATATTAATGTTCCAGTGAAGATTCAGAGCCAACCAGTAAGTTTTGAAAAAAAATAAAAAAATAAAACACGCCTAAAGACGTAAATAAATTATTTCATTTTTATATTCTAATATGTAAATCTAGTACAATGCCCCCAATGTGTGAATCTAGAAACATGTCTCAATCTAGAAAACTGACCAATAATGTGAGGCTACAATAATGTCCCAATATACAGGGTGGCCAGTAAAAAAAAAAAAAAACGGTAAATTCAGAAAGAAATTCATTTAGCTATCATGATTCATGCACAAACTGAATAATTATCGCAACAAAAACAAAACCAAAACCAAAACCAAAAAAAAACAAACAAAAACAATCAGAGTTAAGTAGTTACGATAGAGTCGAATGATTATTCAAGGTCATGAATATTCAAGAAATTTATTCAAGGTTATTCAAGGTCAATTATTCCTGAAAAATAAAAAAAAAGTGATAATAAATTTGCCGCATTTTTTACTAGGCACCCTGTAGAACAACGTTCCATTATACAAATCTAGAAAATTTATAGGAAATAAACCCTATTTTCCACATAATTACATACACACATACATGCCATATTAAAACTCGGCCAAACTTTATTTTCTATCCAATAACAGACAATATTACAATGCAACATAATTAAATCAAAGTGACTGTTGGTTAGAAATTAACATCACCATGGGAAGTATTTGACCAATCAGGGAAACTAAAACCCTGTTTTTCTCGAGCCTACACTCTGGAAAACATTTTCATAAAAATCGACAGCTTTCAACAAGTAGAGATGCGACTGTCTCTAAGTCATTCAAACAAAATAAACATGGCTACATAGCTTTTTCTATCACGCCAACGTGTGCTGAAAGAAACATGTGTCGGTGACTTCAAATGAATCCGTTACAACAACAACGACTTGGACGGTAAGTGAATCTTCGCTGACGATCATGTGTATCGGTGACTTTAAAGGAATTGTTTCCAACAACAGACCGTCAGGGGATCTTCGCTAATAATAAAAGTTTTTCTTAATCACAATTTTCTTTTCTGTGAAGCAACTACTAAAATTCCTTTGTAAATCACATCTTTTTCTGTGAACCAACTTCTTTCACTCAACTGAAGACTATGTTTGCTCCTTTTGAAATCATGTACATATGTCTGTAAATACAAATTATTTATTTAACAGATACATCCATATTTTCTTTAATTCTATGTTATTATTGTTTGAAATTCGGTCTTTCGGGTTTTTTAATATAAAAAATGCCATGGATGACTGAATTTCCTACGGATTAAATAATTTTGGTCAAAATAAAAGTTTTTTTTTTTTTTTTTTTTAATTAAACCTATAGTAATTAAACCTGTAGTAATAAGATATGACATCTCCACTGAGTGGATATCATCTTAACATAAATTTTAATTAACTTATTAACTAAATTTATTGCAAAAGACAGAAAATGACACAGCACTTAAAACCTATTATCAAATTATTCATCTGCAAAGTTGCAGCTTTTAAGAATGTATAGATATTATGTTATTAGAAATGTGTTAGTCTTCAAGTGACACGCATTCAGTTGAGAAGGGCATTTTTTTCTTTTAAATAACTACGTGCATTTTATGTCTACTACTAGGCCTGTGCATCTGGTATAAATAAAGGGCAACATATTAATGAGTTAATCTAACAGTCGCAGTAGCAGTGGGAGGAACAGTCTCAATTGAAGAATCATTAAGAAATCTTGATGTGTATTTTTCCATTTCCTGTTGTACGAAAACTCTTTCGTAACAAGATTGGTTGCTTGGTTATTTTTGTTTAGCGGCATATCAACACCTATATGGGTTATTTGATGCCGACATCTAAATATTTTGAACGCAATTGTATGCCTTCAACTATACATAAAATGTATTGTTGGTATTTCTACTATAAAATGTATTGTTGGCGATTTTCCTATGAAATGTATTTTTGGAAATTTTACAACAAAATGCATTGATGGTCATTTTCCTATAAAAAAATTTGTTGTTGGTAATTTTACTATAAATATGCAGGATGGTAATTTTTGAATATAAATATGGATTGGTGGTATTTTTACTATAAAAAAAAGCATTTTTATACTTTCATACTGTTTTTTTTGTTTTTTTGTTTAGGGGTCCATTATTTTTGTTTAGGGGTCCATTATTTTTGTTTAGGGGTCCATTATTTGGCCATAGCTGGATCCCCTAACAGGTGCTACCAACCCCGAGTCAGAATGAACATGGGAACAACAGCAATTAAGAGGTCGTTCCACGTTTCTCAAAACCTTCAATCTCCCGACCAGATGCCTTGATGCCAGATGTAGTTTATCATCATAACCAGGAATTACTCATAAGAAGAAAGAGTATTTAAAAAAAGAAGAAACAATTTATGTAAAATGCTGAAACAGTTTCTGGGTTATAAAAAAAAGTTATCTGCTTTCTTCATTTCCTTTCCCTTATTATATGGTCGAGTTGAATATTTTAACAAAGGCCAGCCTTAAAATAAATAGCAATGTGTTTCTGAGACAAAATTGTATGATATAAAAAACGTTTCAAAAGCTAAAATATTTGTTCAAGTGAGAAGAGCATAAACCAATAAATATGGACTTAGCTCAGTAAGATTGAAATGAATATTTTATTATTCGTTAACATACTCTTGTTATTAACACGTGTAAACAATGTTTAAATCATTTCTTGCTTATCTTTAGCGATAAACTGAAAACACCCTATTCTACCAAACAACAGCTGCGCGTGATAAAA